AAGAAGGGGACAGAGCAGCCGATACCCAGACAGGGTCTGCAGCCTGGACCCTCCATGACTAGGCACATTCACTAGAAACAAAGGCAGGTCCCAAGATCAGAAGATCGAAAATAAACTACACTTAAAACAAATTCATATGACTCCCATACACCACTGTGGGCGTAGAAACTAGTACAACCATTTCAGAAAAATGTCTGTCAAGGGCCCCACGACGGGCTTTATGTGTGGGCACCAAAAGAAGAATTCAAGAATGTTCAGAGGGATTTCATTCACAAAATTGGGAACAACCTGTGTATCCATCAACAGGAACATGGATGCAGAGATTGTAGGATAGCCCCTCAATGGAATTCCAGCCACAAAACAAAACGAGTGAACCTCAGCTACACCCACCAGGATGGCCGCATCTCACAAGCTTGTGGCTGAAGGAAAGCAGTCAGACACCAAAGAGTACCACTCTATGACCTGTCTATACAGAAGGGCGAAACAGATCTCTGGGGCCAGAAGGCAGGAGGTGGGACCTTTGTAGAGGGGATAGAAGGGGACATAAGTCAACTTCTGGGGCGCTAAGAAGATTCTTAGGTGGTAATTAGGTCAGGTGGTAATTACATGAGTGGCCCACCTGGTGACAGAGTACACTACTGATTTCTGAATGCACATATATTTCAGTATTTAAGTATGCAAATATTCTAATTTATTCAATGTATTTCAATAAGTGATTTTTAAGTAGTTCATATGAAGAAAAAGCAGATTCAAAAACAGACTGGTCTGTGCTCTTCCTACATATATAAACACACATACACCCTCTGTCATCCTTACAAGCCACTGGCCGAAGCTCCAGCATCACTGAGACTATGTCCTTTTTCCCCAAGACATTTCCAGAATGGGACCACAGACGTCCTTTGCACCCTAGGCCTCAGCCCTGTCCCTGGGGCCTCTCATCTGTGGCTGCATCTCCAGGCTGCCGGTGTCCCCGGTGCCTGTGGGGAGATGGTCTGAGGACCTGAGAGCCCCCAGCTCTGCAGAGAATGAGTCCCCAGCGGGCTGGCAGGAGTCCCGTTGGAGTCTGTCGCTATTCCCTGGGCCCTACACAGAACAAACACTCCTGACCTGCTTGGTCAAGATGTTCTGGGCAGTAGAAGGGGCGGCCACCCTTCATTCTAGCAACAGAGGCGCTGAGAACTTTGTGAACTGCTCAAATCTTGACAAGTCCAGTTACATTTTCAATACTCACCCTAACGACAATGCATAAGGCAACCTTCTGTAAACCGTGCCACCCTCCATATTGTTTACTCTGTGGGATTCGCATTCTTCATATCTGGCTTTGTCTAAAACAAAGTAAACCCTTTGGTTTCCAGCTCTTTCCCCCCATTGCCCATTTTCCAAATGCAGCCAGAGAGATCTTTTCAAAAGGTAAATCAAATTACACCACACTGCTGCCCCAAACCCGCCAACACTAGTCCTCTCCTCTGACCTCATAGCTTCTGCCACGTGCTGTTCCCTCTCCCTGGAACACCCTTCCCTCAGATGTTCCCGAAGTCCACCTCCTCAAAGCGGTCTTTCTGTGTCCTGGGTCTGAAGGGCCAACACCGCCCCCATCCTGCCACATGCCAGCTCCTAACCTGGTGTGATTTCCCTCATGGCCTTTTACCATTATCTGAAATAAGCTGATTTATTATCTTACATGCTAACATCTATCTCCTTTACCAAAAAATGACCCACAACAGCAAGGGCTTCGATTGACCCATTCACCAGCGTGCACTCAGTCCCAGAACAGTGCCTAGCACAGAGTAGGCAGCCAGTAAACACTTGAGGGTGGGAGAAGGGGAGGCAGGGGAGGGGGGAAGGAAGGTCAGGATGGAGGACAAGAGAGGGAAGGAGGGGAGAATTCATTCGCAAGTTCGTGATACACTAGGAACTACTGTTCTTCGCAGGTACAACCAGGGGCTTTAGAACAAGAAATTAGTTACAGAAGGGGAATCCATTACAGAAAGGGACAAAAAATGAGTGCGTATGTGTCCAAAGCATACATTTTAGAAGAACTGTGAAATGGTGCCTGATCTGGAGTGGATGGAGGAGCATGAGAGCGAGGAGGAGGGACACATTTTGCCCTGGAATATCACTTATTTTGCTAGTTCAGAATGAGACTTTTTTGAAAATGTCTCAAGTACTTAGAGTGGAGAAAACAGAAGCTGCATTTTGGAGTTCCAAGAGAGAACGGGGCCCAGACAGACAGTGTCTGTGTGCAGGAATGCAGTTTGGGACGAGGGGAGATGAAAGACAGGAGCAACATGAAGGGGCCAGGTGGGACGCCCAGACGAGGCCCTCTGGATGGCCAGCCTGGTCAGGAAACCAGACCAAACGCCAGGGCTTCACGGGGTCACAGTCGAGTGGCGTGATCAACTTCAAAGATGATTTATTTGCACTTGAGCCAGAGTCCACTGGTGACCCCTTCCTTGTCCAGCTGCAGAACCTCCCCTTGGCCTTCAAAACACTTAAACTCAGCTCCCACAAAGTTTCCAAGGAAAGTCTACTTTTCCAGAATGAATGGCCTGTGAGAAGTACATACACATTGGAAGCATGTTCTGTGGGATTTGTTGGAGGGGGGGACCCCTTTGAGTAATCAATGAAAGGGACAGAAAAGGATCTTCTAAGCCTAGGATGTCTCCTTTCAGACTAGAGAAATGACCCAGGGATTTCCAGTTCACCTGTCAGAAATCAACGCAAAACAGCCAACTGAGAAGTCCAACGGCGGAATCCAGGGCTGTTCCGCAGGTGTGTAGGCCAGAAGGCCTCTGCTGGAAGGACTGGAAACCCCAGCGTTTAGGAGACAAACCGTACGTGCCTCTTCCCAGTGGCTACGGTGGTGGTGTGAGTTGGGGCTGACTGCTGGCACAACAGGCCACACAGAAAGACCTGGGTTAGGTAGACCCTTAGTATACAATGCCTGTCAAGCTCTGAACATCTAGCCAGCAACCACATTACTACCTTTTGGGGGCCACACAGGTCAGAATCATCCTACTGCTTTGGCCTGGTTTGGCCCCGGGAATGTGAAGCCCAAGAATTGGGAAGCCTGAACATGGCATGCGGGGAGCAAGTTCTCCGTTCTCTGAGACACCCTTAGTGCCAACTCATGTTACTGACCTGCCAAGTGCTCACTTTCACCAAGAATTGGAACCTGCCTGTATTCAGAAAGAAACTTAGGCCCAAAAGGGTCTCCATTCTCAGCTGCTTCTCTGTAACATAGGCTTCTGTGAAAATAGGAAGTGCCCCTGTGGGCCGGGGGCCACACTCAAAGGTTTTTCATGACCATGTGGATATTGATGGGTCACGGAGAACCAGGGCACTGGGGAAAGTTACCTGCCCCTGGTCAGGCATCATTTATTTACAAAGCACCTCGTCCCTGATATATCCCCCAAGCATGTGCATAGAGAGGTCTGGTTACAGCCACAATTCATTTACCAGCTTGCACTAGACTGAATTTCGGGCATTAGCTGAATTTTCTACATAACTCCCTTTCAAATAAGCACAAAAATTTCATCTTAACCGTTCTGAGTGTAAATTGTTCAAGGATGGATTGCACATGGGTCTCCCTTTTGTAATGGAGCACAAAGACCTAACTTAACCTGTGTCTGATTATTTAGGAATAGACAGATCAATTATTAACACAGTAATACCTTGAGGCTGGCTCTGCAGGCATGTGGGGTGGTTTGACCCTCTACTAAGTGGCCGTAGAGATGTTTGCTTGATGTGTTTGGGGGAAGTTTTTGATCTATAGTTTTTACAAGAAAGAGGATATGGAAACTACTAGAAGTCACAGGACTCCCAGGTAACTCGGATCGTCAAAACTTGGCATAACGTAAAAGTCAGCAGCCTCTAAATAAGCACCAAAGGATTCCTGCCACTGAAGTGTCTGATATTTAGTACTTGGTCTTTCTGATAACTACTGTAGCCATTTGGAAGTATTTTTTTTACCTTCCTTCCTACTCCTTGGCTGGGATCCCAGAGTACATTTGCCTAAATAATTGAGGTTTCAGGGTATATCAGATGCTACTGCCTATAAAATGTGAGACTGTTGCTGTGGATGGCAGCCAGCGGTATAGGTTTTCCTTCTCCTATTAAGAAACTCAAACCACCTGTTTTCTTTCTCCTGGAGCCGCCAGGGGAAGGCTGCTGCCTGCCCCGCCCTCTCTGCCTTCAGCTGCACCTGGCTGATCCCAGGTGAGTCCGCAACACAATTAGCCCTTCCTCCCTGAGATCGCAGAACAGTGGCACCGACACAGCCACTCCAATAAGGCCACCCCTCCAGCTGCCCACCCCCAAGAAACCCAGGCACCTACAGACTCACAGAAAGCCTCCTGTGCATCTTTTCCTTGGCCCAACCACCCCGTCAGCTGGGCTCACCACAACGGAAGCCCACTGTTCCCCTCGCATCAATGTGCTCCTCTGTTCCCCTGGCACATGGCAGAGATGTGCCCGCAGCCTGCCCGCAAGCCCCCATTCATGTTTCCTGCTCATAGAGCCACTTTTCAATGGAATTTCTCCTTCCCTTTTCTGCACCCACCCCTTCCCCAAATACAAAAGAAGGCTATAAAGTAGGATTTATTTTTCTCTACAGGAATAAAAGGTTAGCTTTCCATCCTTTCTGTTTTCCTATCCTTGGTCTAAATTTGGCAAATGGAGAGAGAGTGGAAGCAGTCAAGCTGACCCAGTTCATGACTCGGGGCACTCAAGTGGCCAGAATCGCCCTCAGTTGCTCTTCCTGTTGCAATGGTTGTAGAGGAGCATCTAAAACTCTTACCCCCCACCCCCAAAGTCCTGCTGGCAAATGATGCATGCACAGAATTGGGTGAGGCCTTAAAGGTTAATGTATTTGGCCCCCTTAAAGACGGGGGCACTAAGGCCCAAAAGGGTGAGGTAAGATACCCAGGCCATACAGTGAACTTGTGGGGGATGCTTCAGGGCACCGTCCTTAGGGGCAACCAGAAAAACAAGCATCTTACCATCATCCAAGTAGGTCTGGTCCAAGTTCTGCTCCTGTTTAATTGTCACTCCTGCAGGTAATACTTCCTTTTGGTCACTGACTGGGGGTCCGTTTTTGGCAGCTCTTGGGCTTGTGGCATTCTGCTGCTGAATGACTGTGGGGTAGGACCCCGGGCTCAGCCTCTGACCTTGACTGACGGGGGGAGGGCCGGACCTGGTGGTGCTGGGGGCGAAATTCTCACAGTACATGATGTGCTGGAATTCCTGGTGGCCTCCGCAGCGCAGCGGCTGGTTGCTGGGTGAGTAGTGGATCACTGGTGAGGCCTGCTGGTTGGCCGGAGAGGGGTGGAGCAGGGCTGCGCTCTGGCCCTGGGAGCCAGCGTGTACCAGCACGGAGCGGTGGGCGTCCGCAAGGGACAGGGGGGTGGCCATGAGGGCTGGCTGCTGGTAACCCAACAGACTGGGGCTCAGGCTCTTGCTCCGCTGATAGAGAACAGCTGCTGGGTTCTGCTGCTGGTAGCGGGCATCAGGGGACGGGAGCCCCGAGCGGAATTGCTGGCAGGGAGCCATGGTGGCCACGAGGCAGGAGGGGGACTCAGCCACCATCGGGTGCTGTGGGTAGTAAGGCTGGCTCCCCAGGCCCCCATGGGCAGGGCTGCAGATCAAGGTGGGGTCATATTCATCAGTGGGCTCCGTCTTGATGGCTGGGACTGTGAGAAAGAGAAGCACAGAGGGTGCACCATTCTCAGTGAGCCACAGGGTCCACTTACACGTGGGTTTTTTTCAGTAACTACAGTACAGTGCAGTAAATGCATTTTCTCTTATGACTTATTAGTAACATTTTCTTTTCTCTAGCTTACTTTATTGTAGGGATATAGTATATAATAGAGCAAACAAGCTATGCATTAATCAGCGGTTTATGTTATAGTAAAGTTTCCGGTCAGCAGCAGGACACTAGTAGTTAAGTTTTTAGGGAGTCAAAAGTTATATGCAGGTTTTTGACTCCATGGTCCAGAGACCTCCCCAAAGATTTTCTCCCACTGTTTTGGGTCCTGTTAGGCCGTTGCCACTCATGACATGGGATGGCAGTCCTGAGAGGGTGGAATGCCCACAGGGTCACAAACCTGTGCATACATGCCACAGAAGCCAAGCCCCCAAGGCCAGGCTGCCAGGACTGTCCCCTTGGTTTCATGCTTCCTGCAGCCCAGAGGCTCCATGTGAAACCTTCACAAGACAGAAATTATACTCTAGGTGATATTCTTGAATTATCTATTTCCAATCTTGGAAAGGTGGTTGGTAGGCTTGTCTCAGCCTTGGGCAGCTTGTACCCTGTTTCTGCAGACCTTATCATAATCCAACATATCAATAACGTCAACTCTACATACTCTCTGAATCCTGTCAGTCAATAAATACTACCTTTTATCTGAATCCCATCTGCTAGAACATCAGCTCCACGGGGGTAGGGATTTTATATATATTTTTTTCAATACTAGGTCTCTGAGCCAAGAACAGTACCTGGCACTCTTATTTTCTCATTCACACAAAGGAATGAATGAAAAATGGCCATAGGGTGACTACCCACTGTGGGGTCAACCGAGGATTCTGTAGGTTTCAGGGCATATTCACCTTCCACCCCTACTATGATCAAATCTAAGACAGAGACGGGCATCATCAGCTTTGCAACCTTCTACTGAACAAGTCTAAATGGGCCTCTCTCCTATTCTGCCCTCCTAAAGGAAAATATTAATCATGATAATACCTAGTAGTGTTGGTATCAGCTTCCTGTGTACTTTGCAAGCCTTTTACATGCATTTGATTTCTGTAACTCTCATGAAGAAGATGCCACTTGACAGATGAGGAAACTGAGGCTCAGAGAGATTGAGTCACCTGCCCAAAGTCACCCAACTAGGAGCAGACCTCATGTGTCCCCACCCACGTGCCTGTGCTGCCTGTCAATGCCAAAGAGGCCTTCAGAGAGAACTCCTCACCTGGGTGATAGGTAAAGTGCTGAGGCTGACTTCGTTTTCTTTTCCCATTGATCACGTAGAAGTTCACCTTCACTGCCACACGGATGTGCTTATTCCGATACTCAGGGATCTCAACAAAAAGCATGTTCTAGAAGGAAGGAGCTGGCATTAGCTTAACTTTGACAATGTCTAAATTCCTGAGGCCCCAAGTACTTCGAGCCAGCCCACCTAAAAGGCATCATGACACATTCCATATGTTTACAGGTGAAATTCTACTAAAGGGGAACTTGACTTTTCAGCTACAGCAAAGAAAGGATTGCTGTTTACTCTGTCAAAGTCGATTAAGATGTTACAATTACAAATTAAGTGCTCAATAAATATTTGACTCATTTGCCAATTCAGTACCTACTGAGTGTCTGTTAAGTTCAAAGCACTGGGACTGAAGGAAGGAAAAGGGAGAGGATGGGGCGAGGAGGGAGGTGGGAGGGAAACAAGACCGGCATTCAGTCATCTTGTCCGTGTGCTTACAGGCTGGCTTTTGTCTTTGTCCACTGTGGCTTCCATCTCCCAAATTTGCTGCCCATCTGGAAAATGAAAAAATGACAGACTTTGAAGGAACCAGTAGACACCAAAGACTCAAGACCACAACTCACCAATTTTACATATAACTTGGTTTAGGTATTATACCATTTCAATAAAGTATATGTGTGTGTTTGTGTTGTACACATATATTTGTACCTACATGTATTTTTATTTACATATGTATATTTCATTGTCCAAAGGGATTGCATGTTGACAATAGAAAAAAGGGCAGTAGAAAATAAGGAGAGAAATAGAAATGACCTATCATCCCACCACCATTATGTTTTTCCCTCTATATTTGAATGTCTTATAGCTTGCTTTCTTAAAAAACAGTATTGTTATACATTATATTTTATTATACGCTTTGTTCAAGCAAAGACTATTTCTGAAACATCCTGAATATGCCAAGACTGTCCCAGGAGCTCCATTATGGATCACTGGCTGTCCCAGACCTGCCTTCTTGATTGACTAAGAACACAGGTGGCTTATGTAATCTGTCTTTAGAGTCTTAAATGATGTTCTGGCTTATGAGTCATTGGAGACGATGGCAACATCAGAGTCCACTGTCAACTTTTTGGTCAACAGACAGCCTGGATCTCACATGACTCTACAATGATCAGTGAGAGGTTTTCGCTCAATACTCAACTCTCCTTCCCTAGAACAGAGCACTGGTCCCCCAGTTTGGGGCCAACAAGTTGGGCCAAACAAAACTCCGCATTTGCAAAAAAACAGATTTCTTTTTCTGACCACCTACATTGGCCACTGGGCAGTTTTCGGCTGAAGCAAATCATTTCCACAACCGTTTCCAGGGTGTTTTGTGGAACACTGGCTCTGAAGAATATTAACTGGGTTTATGAGAATGGGAAACAAATTCTGCAAAGTTAATAAGCATTTGGAAAATGCTGTGTCAAAGTCAAATAGTTTTTTTTTTTTAACTGCAGGACTTCTCAGAGCCTTTAATCTGCTCACATACAGTGCAATGCTCTGCCTTGGAGTGCAACAACATGTCCCAACATTTCACTAAAGAACCCCTACCCACTTTTTTAAACACAACTATTAACATCTTCTGCAACAGGTTAGATTTGAACCCATTTCTGTTGGCTTTTAAGGTTTACCCAGAGAAATCTGGTTTCCAAGCATTATTTGAACTTCCTAGTCTAAAACACATTTCCCAAAATAATAATAAACAGTTTTGGGATTGCTACCAAAGCTGATGCCATCTAGATATGATCTTGACAGTGAACAAGCAATGGGCTAGCTAGAGCCCTCTGTAACACGTCTGTCTGCAAGTCTTGGCCTTACTGTTCTATTATCGCATCAATGTGCTCCTCTGTTCCCCTGGCACATGGCAGAGATGTGCCCGCAGCCTGCCCGCAAGCCCCCATTCATGTTTCCTGCTCATAGAGCCACTTTTCAATGGAATTTCTCCTTCCCTTTTCTGCACCCACCCCTTCCCCAAATACAAAAGAAGGCTATAAAGTAGGATTTATTTTTCTCTACAGGAATAAAAGGTTAGCTTTCCATCCTTTCTGTTTTCCTATCCTTGGTCTAAATTTGGCAAATGGAGAGAGAGTGGAAGCAGTCAAGCTGACCCAGTTCATGACTCGGGGCACTCAAGTGGCCAGAATCGCCCTCAGTTGCTCTTCCTGTTGCAATGGTTGTAGAGGAGCATCTAAAACTCTTACCCCCCACCCCCAAAGTCCTGCTGGCAAATGATGCATGCACAGAATTGGGTGAGGCCTTAAAGGTTAATGTATTTGGCCCCCTTAAAGACGGGGGCACTAAGGCCCAAAAGGGTGAGGTAAGATACCCAGGCCATACAGTGAACTTGTGGGGGATGCTTCAGGGCACCGTCCTTAGGGGCAACCAGAAAAACAAGCATCTTACCATCATCCAAGTAGGTCTGGTCCAAGTTCTGCTCCTGTTTAATTGTCACTCCTGCAGGTAATACTTCCTTTTGGTCACTGACTGGGGGTCCGTTTTTGGCAGCTCTTGGGCTTGTGGCATTCTGCTGCTGAATGACTGTGGGGTAGGACCCCGGGCTCAGCCTCTGACCTTGACTGACGGGGGGAGGGCCGGACCTGGTGGTGCTGGGGACGAAATTCTCACAGTACATGATGTGCTGGAATTCCTGGTGGCCTCCGCAGCGCAGCGGCTGGTTGCTGGGTGAGTAGTGGATCACTGGTGAGGCCTGCTGGTTGGCCGGAGAGGGGTGGAGCAGGGCTGCGCTCTGGCCCTGGGAGCCAGCGTGTACCAGCACGGAGCGGTGGGCGTCCGCAAGGGACAGGGGGGTGGCCATGAGGGCTGGCTGCTGGTAACCCAACAGACTGGGGCTCAGGCTCTTGCTCCGCTGATAGAGAACAGCTGCTGGGTTCTGCTGCTGGTAGCGGGCATCAGGGGACGGGAGCCCCGAGCGGAATTGCTGGCAGGGAGCCATGGTGGCCACGAGGCAGGAGGGGGACCCAGCCACCATCGGGTGCTGTGGGTAGTAAGGCTGGCTCCCCAGGCCCCCATGGGCAGGGCTGCAGATCAAGGTGGGGTCATATTCATCAGTGGGCTCCGTCTTGATGGCTGGGACTGTGAGAAAGAGAAGCACAGAGGGTGCACCATTCTCAGTGAGCCACAGGGTCCACTTACACGTGGGTTTTTTTCAGTAACTACAGTACAGTGCAGTAAATGCATTTTCTCTTATGACTTATTAGTAACATTTTCTTTTCTCTAGCTTACTTTATTGTAGGGATATAGTATATAATAGAGCAAACAAGCTATGCATTAATCAGCGGTTTATGTTATAGTAAAGTTTCCGGTCAGCAGCAGGACACTAGTAGTTAAGTTTTTAGGGAGTCAAAAGTTATATGCAGGTTTTTGACTCCATGGTCCAGAGACCTCCCCAAAGATTTTCTCCCACTGTTTTGGGTCCTGTTAGGCCGTTGCCACTCATGACATGGGATGGCAGTCCTGAGAGGGTGGAATGCCCACAGGGTCACAAACCTGTGCATACATGCCACAGAAGCCAAGCCCCCAAGGCCAGGCTGCCAGGACTGTCCCCTTGGTTTCATGCTTCCTGCAGCCCAGAGGCTCCATGTGAAACCTTCACAAGACAGAAATTATACTCTAGGTGATATTCTTGAATTATCTATTTCCAATCTTGGAAAGGTGGTTGGTAGGCTTGTCTCAGCCTTGGGCAGCTTGTACCCTGTTTCTGCAGACCTTATCATAATCCAACATATCAATAACGTCAACTCTACATACTCTCTGAATCCTGTCAGTCAATAAATACTACCTTTTATCTGAATCCCATCTGCTAGAACATCAGCTCCACGGGGGTAGGGATTTTATATATATTTTTTTCAATACTAGGTCTCTGAGCCAAGAACAGTACCTGGCACTCTTATTTTCTCATTCACACAAAGGAATGAATGAAAAATGGCCATAGGGTGACTACCCACTGTGGGGTCAACCGAGGATTCTGTAGGTTTCAGGGCATATTCACCTTCCACCCCTACTATGATCAAATCTAAGACAGAGACGGGCATCATCAGCTTTGCAACCTTCTACTGAACAAGTCTAAATGGGCCTCTCTCCTATTCTGCCCTCCTAAAGGAAAATATTAATCATGATAATACCTAGTAGTGTTGGTATCAGCTTCCTGTGTACTTTGCAAGCCTTTTACATGCATTTGATTTCTGTAACTCTCATGAAGAAGATGCCACTTGACAGATGAGGAAACTGAGGCTCAGAGAGATTGAGTCACCTGCCCAAAGTCACCCAACTAGGAGCAGACCTCATGTGTCCCCACCCACGTGCCTGTGCTGCCTGTCAATGCCAAAGAGGCCTTCAGAGAGAACTCCTCACCTGGGTGATAGGTAAAGTGCTGAGGCTGACTTCGTTTTCTTTTCCCATTGATCACGTAGAAGTTCACCTTCACTGCCACACGGATGTGCTTATTCCGATACTCAGGGATCTCAACAAAAAGCATGTTCTAGAAGGAAGGAGCTGGCATTAGCTTAACTTTGACAATGTCTAAATTCCTGAGGCCCCAAGTACTTCGAGCCAGCCCACCTAAAAGGCATCATGACACATTCCATATGTTTACAGGTGAAATTCTACTAAAGGGGAACTTGACTTTTCAGCTACAGCAAAGAAAGGATTGCTGTTTACTCTGTCAAAGTCGATTAAGATGTTACAATTACAAATTAAGTGCTCAATAAATATTTGACTCATTTGCCAATTCAGTACCTACTGAGTGTCTGTTAAGTTCAAAGCACTGGGACTGAAGGAAGGAAAAGGGAGAGGATGGGGCGAGGAGGGAGGTGGGAGGGAAACAAGACCGGCATTCAGTCATCTTGTCCGTGTGCTTACAGGCTGGCTTTTGTCTTTGTCCACTGTGGCTTCCATCTCCCAAATTTGCTGCCCATCTGGAAAATGAAAAAATGACAGACTTTGAAGGAACCAGTAGACACCAAAGACTCAAGACCACAACTCACCAATTTTACATATAACTTGGTTTAGGTATTATACCATTTCAATAAAGTATATGTGTGTGTTTGTGTTGTACACATATATTTGTACCTACATGTATTTTTATTTACATATGTATATTTCATTGTCCAAAGGGATTGCATGTTGACAATAGAAAAAAGGGCAGTAGAAAATAAGGAGAGAAATAGAAATGACCTATCATCCCACCACCATTATGTTTTTCCCTCTATATTTGAATGTCTTATAGCTTGCTTTCTTAAAAAACAGTATTGTTATACATTATATTTTATTATACGCTTTGTTCAAGCAAAGACTATTTCTGAAACATCCTGAATATGCCAAGACTGTCCCAGGAGCTCCATTATGGATCACTGGCTGTCCCAGACCTGCCTTCTTGATTGACTAAGAACACAGGTGGCTTATGTAATCTGTCTTTAGAGTCTTAAATGATGTTCTGGCTTATGAGTCATTGGAGACGATGGCAACATCAGAGTCCACTGTCAACTTTTTGGTCAACAGACAGCCTGGATCTCACATGACTCTACAATGATCAGTGAGAGGTTTTCGCTCAATACTCAACTCTCCTTCCCTAGAACAGAGCACTGGTCCCCCAGTTTGGGGCCAACAAGTTGGGCCAAACAAAACTCCGCATTTGCAAAAAAACAGATTTCTTTTTCTGACCACCTACATTGGCCACTGGGCAGTTTTCGGCTGAAGCAAATCATTTCCACAACCGTTTCCAGGGTGTTTTGTGGAACACTGGCTCTGAAGAATATTAACTGGGTTTATGAGAATGGGAAACAAATTCTGCAAAGTTAATAAGCATTTGGAAAATGCTGTGTCAAAGTCAAATAGTTTTTTTTTTTTAACTGCAGGACTTCTCAGAGCCTTTAATCTGCTCACATACAGTGCAATGCTCTGCCTTGGAGTGCAACAACATGTCCCAACATTTCACTAAAGAACCCCTACCCACTTTTTTAAACACAACTATTAACATCTTCTGCAACAGGTTAGATTTGAACCCATTTCTGTTGGCTTTTAAGGTTTACCCAGAGAAATCTGGTTTCCAAGCATTATTTGAACTTCCTAGTCTAAAACACATTTCCCAAAATAATAATAAACAGTTTTGGGATTGCTACCAAAGCTGATGCCATCTAGATATGATCTTGACAGTGAACAAGCAATGGGCTAGCTAGAGCCCTCTGTAACACGTCTGTCTGCAAGTCTTGGCCTTACTGTTCTATTAGTGCGATTCCTGAAATGACTAAGGAAGACAAGGGTTAATGTACAAAGGGAAGAGGAGAAGGGGGCTAATGTGCAGCTCTCACTACAGTGTGAGATCTCTGTGGCAGGGACCAAATTACAGCCATCACCTTCTCCCAACACCCAATATTGTAGATGCCCAATAAACATCTCCTGTTTGAGCATATGGAAGTGTCAGCGGCTGCAGGGGCTGCTGATGGGACTAAGAAAAAGGCAGATGCTACAACAGCTACTGCTCAAAACGAAGTAAGAAAAGGACAGGTGGATGGACATCAAGGAATCTGAAGTTACGAAGACAAGGTACTTTCAGTGTGAAAGGCCATGGACAGAACTAGTCAGAAAATCCTCACTTCTTCATCCAAGACAGGTCAAGGGTCATCGAACAGAGTCCCATGTCCCCCTGTCAGGTGGTAGCTATGATCTAGGTGGGGATCCTTGTCAAAAAGGGCACTCTCATTCACTAATGTGAGCCCTAAGTCAGAAGATCAATGAATTAATCACGGAAATAGACAAAAATGTGTTGACGTCTGACGTGTCACCCTCCCCTTTAGCCTCTCATTGGCTGGACTGAGCTCGAGCTCTGCCGCCAGGAGAACCATGGTCGTTTTGGTTTGGCTCATTATCCTATATGAGCTCGACTCACATTGAAAAGAAAGGACCATTGTCAGAAGTCTCATGATTGGGAGGAAAGGGAGGGAAGTGCCTGGAAAAGTGATGAGGAAGGGTTAGGCTGGGTACCCTCAGCATCTTCCTTGCCAGCAAGCAGGACACAAAGCACAGAGAATATGGAATGGTGGTGATGGGCAGGGCACACCAGGAAGGGAGTTCTCAGCGTCTCTCCTCTTGGTCTAGGGACCCAAGAGAAATGGGAGGGAGCTTTTCTCCCCAAATTTCACTTTTTTCCATCTCTGGTGGGTGTACATCATCGGCAAAATGCCACCCACCAATGGCCACACTATTCGAGCACATGGGTGCATGGGAGTACCCTGAGAAATCAGCTGGCCCAACACCATGTGGGGAAACTGAGGCCCAGAGAAGGAAGGGGATTGCCCAAAGGCATGCAATGGACAGTTACTAAGTCACAGTTTATAAGCAACAACTGGCGCAGTTCAATATCAAAGAGATGCTTTTGAGGAAAGAAGCTCAAAGTTACGGAGACGACCAGCTTCCTGGGAGGCTGGAGAAAGGTCCCACAGAGGTTAGGATCCTTCCAAGGTCAGAGCCATCACAAAGGTTTGTGCACATCCTCTCAAACCCTTCCCTGCTTCCCCTGGGCCTCCAGATACCATCTATGCAAGCACAGTGGCCCTGAAGGTCCTGCACGATCGGGCTCCTGCCCTCTGTCCCAGCCTCTCGGGGCACGGTTCTCACTGCTCCTAGGAGGAGCAAGGCTGTTCCTTATGAGCCCTCATTACATGCAAAGCACCGCTCAAAGCATCTCACAGGTATGGACTCGGCTAATCCGTACAAACGTACGCCACAGGTCTGATTATCACCCCCATTTGACAGGTGAGGACACTCAGGCACAAAGAGGCGAGAGCACTGGCCCAAGGACACACAGCAAGCAAGAAAGGCTGACTGGAGCCCAGGCAGCCTGGCTTTAGAACCAGTACTCTTGATGCCACTGACATGTGGTGCAGCTCCTCTGCCAAGTGAACCAGGAGGGATGAGCAGGCCTTCCAGGTGGCTAGTCCTTAAGACTCAGAGTGAAATAAGCCAGGAGGAGAAAGACAAATAGCAAATGATTTCCCTCATTTGTGGAGTATAATAACAAAGCAAAACTGAAGGAACAAAACAGCAGTAGACTCACAGAACCCAAGAAGGGACTAGCGGTGACCAAAGGGGAGGGGTCAGGGAGGGTGGGTGGGAGGGAAGGAGACGGGGATTGAGGGGCATTATGATTAGCACACATGGCATGGGGGGGTCACTGGGAACACAGTGTAGCACAGAGAAGACAAGTAGTGACTCTGTGGCATCACACTACACTGATGGACAGTGACTGCAATGGGGTGTGGGGGGGACTTGATAATATGGTGAATGTACTAACCACATTGTTTTTCATGTGAAACCTTCATAAGAATGTGTATCAATGATACCTTAATAAAAAAAAAAAGACTCAGTTGCTATCTCCCCAAGGAAGCCAGGTCATATCTCCTGTGTTAGACCACGTTTGTCCCCTTGGGGCTCGCACAGCACCTGGGTAGCCCCCGGGCCTCACTCACAGTGAAAGCATGTGTTCGCCTCCTCCATTTCTGGGACATCCTCAGAGGCCACCTCCTCCTCATCTCACAGCCCAGTGCTCAGCCATTTGTCAACATGACCAGAATTGACATCACTCCACTAAGTTATGTCACAATCCATGTAGTTGCGGGGCAGGAGGGTGCTTCTCCCAGGAAAGCAGAGGCCCAGCAGGCGGAACCAACCCAAGTGTCCATTGATGAACAAAATGTAATATATGCATACGGTGGAATATTCCTCAGCCTCAAAAGGGGAGCAAGTTCTAATATATACGCTACAACGTGGGCGGACCTTGAAAACATGATGCCACGTGAAACAAGCTAGATACGAAAGGACAAACACTGCATCTCACTTATATGAGGTCCACAGAACAGGCAAATTCACAGAGATAGAAGAATATGGGTCACCAGGGGCTCAGGGGAGGAGGGGTGGGGATTAGTGTTTAATAGGTGCAGAGCTTCTGTCAGAGCATGAAAACTTTCTGGCAAGAGTTGGTGGTGATGGTCAGACAACAGTGTCAATGTATTTACTTCCAGTGAATTAACACACTTACAAATGGTTAAAATGATAAATACTATGGTATGTATATTTTACTAGGTTTTTTTTAAAGCCTTTGGCCTCCCCTTAGAGATATGACTTGCTTTGTGGCTTACAGAGTGACTAAGAGTTTTTTTTAATTAGCTGCTGCCAATTCAAAATGAGATTTCCCCTAAAAATACAGGTTTTGCTAAGACAGGCACAGTCGCAGGGGGGCCATCAGGTGAGAAATTGGGGACCAACAGAGGGGAGGCTTAGAACCTCACCCCCTCTGTTTTGAGAGAAATCTGCATCCGTGGATGTTTTGTTGCCCTTGTCTAGCTCAGATTAATACTTAGTCTACAGGCACAGACCTGATCATCTACATTTGCCCTCTTACAACACTAAACTATGTTTTCTACCTTTATCTTGCATCTACCTACCACTTCAGCATTTTATTTAAAAAAAAAGGGAGAAATGTGGGATTCACATATAAATCAAGTATAAAAATCAAACGAATAATCATATTTGACCTGATTGTTTATAGTTCATAATGAGTGATCAAAACCAAAAGTTTTTGTGATGACTGCCCTTGCACTGTTCACCATGTAAGAACTTATTCACTATGTAAGAACTTGTTCACCATGTAAGAACCTGTTCGTTATGCTTCAGAAGATTGGAGACTCTTGAGAATTAGGCTTGGGGTGGATTAATGATTGTGCATTGAGTCCCCTATACAGAATTTTATTGTTGTTAACAACCATATGATCAATAAATATGAGAGATGCCCTCTCACAAAGAAAAAAAAAATACAGGTTTTGCTCTTGAAACAAATTCGGACGATCTGATCATTTTGGGGCACCCACAGGGAAACCTGGCAGCCTCTTCAGACAGTGCCTGCTCCCGCTTCAGTACCCGG